GGGACGCGCATAAGCCCATTAAACCATTCAGCCTATGCCATTCTGATTCCTAGCCCCTGTCAAAATGTGTGAGATAGAAGATGGCCGAATAGGAACAGCTCCAGTCTCCACTCCCACGCGGCGAGCGACACAAAAGACCGGTGATTTCTGCATTTTCAACTGAGGTACTGGGTTCATCTCACTGGGGAGTGCCGGACGATCGGTGCTGGTCAGCTGCTGCAGCCCCGCCAGCGAGAGCTGAAGCAGGCGGAGGCATTGCCTCACCTGGGAAGCCCAAGGGGGAAGGGAATCCCTTTTCCTAGCCAGGGGACTGAGAACACAACACCTGGAAAATCGGGTAAACTCCACCCCAATACTGCGCTGTAAGCGAACAGGCACACCAGGAGATCATATCCACACCTGGCCGGGAGGGTCCCACACCCACGGAGCCCTCCCTCATTGCTAGCACAGCAGTCTGTGATCTACCGGCAAGGCAGCAGCGAGACTGGGGAGGGGCGCCCGCCATTGCTGAGGCTTAAGTAGGTAAACAAAGCTGCTGGGAAAGCTCGAACTGGGTGGAGCTCCAGGCAGCTCAAGAACCTGCCTGTCTCTGTAGACTCCACCTCCTGGGGACAGGGCACAGATAGCAACAAAAGCAGCAAGAATCCTCTGCAGACGCAAACGACTCTGTCTGACAGCTTGAAGAGAGCAGTGGATCTCCCAACACGGAGGTTGAGATCTGAGAAGAGTCAGACTGCCTGCTCAAGTGGGTCCGCTGACCCTGAGTAGCCTAACTGGGAGACATCCCCCAACTAGGGGCAGTCTGACACCCACACCTCACAGGGTGGAGTACACCCCTGAGAGGAAGCCGTCCAAAGCAAGAATCAGACAGGTCACTCGCTGTTCAGCAATATTCTATCTTCTGCAGCCTCTGCTGCTGACACCAGGCAAACAGGGTCTGGAGTGGACCTCAAGCAATCTCCCAAGCAGACGTACAGCTGAGGGTCCTGACTGTTAGAAGGAAACTATCAAACAGGAAGGACACCTACACCAAACCCCATCAGTACGTCACCATCATCAAGACCAGAGGCAGATAAAACCACAATAGTAAAAAAAAAAAAAAAATGTGTGAGATAATAAATGTCTGATTTTAAATGGTTAAGTTTTAGGATAATTTGTCACTCAGTAATAGGAACTAATATATTTACAACAAAAATTCTTAATACTTTTCTGTGGAGCATGTTTAAAAATAGTAATAATAAAGTGTTTTTACAAATTCTTGAAATAAAATTCTAGAGCTGGTATCCCTTACCAATGGAGTATCTTTCAGTAAATTTAAAATGCAAATTTCTGAGTTTTCAAAAAATTGTATTTCCACGCTAATTTCAAAATTAAAATGGAAGGTGAGCAAAGTATAATACTATATCTATGTATCATTCACAACTTGCTTTTTTCTGTCAGTGCTGTCTACAGTAGTCCCTCCTTATCCACAGGGGGTATGTTCCAAGACCCTCAATAGATGCTAAAAACCATAAATAGTATCAAACCCTATATATAATGTTTTTTCCCTATATATACCTACGATAAAGTTTAATTTATAAAGTACGTGCAGTAAGAGATTAGTAACAATAACAAAGAATAAAATAGAACAATTGTAACAATTTACAGTTGACCCTTAAACAATGTAAGTTTGAACTATGTGATGCACTTACATGCAAATTTTTGTTAACCAAATGTGGATTAAAAATACAATATGGGCTGGGTGCTGTGGCTCACGCCTGTAATTCCAGCACTTTGGGAGGCAGAGGCGGGTAGATCATGAGGTCAAGAGATCAAGACCATCCTGGCTAACATGGTGAAACCCATCTCTACTAAAAATACACAAAATTAGCTGGGCATGGTGGTAGGCACCTGTAGTTTCAGCTACTTGGGAGGCTGAGGCAGGAGAATTGCTTGAACCCAGGAGGTGGAGGCTGCCGTGAGCCAAGATCGAGCCACTGTACTCCAGCCTGGGCAACAGAGTGAGACTCCGTCTAAAAAAAAAAAAAAACTAAAACACCAACCACAACAGTATTTGCTGATTGCAAAACTCATGTATATGGAAGGCTAACTTTTGATATATACCTGCTGTCCTGCAGGGAAGACTGTGGGACTTCAGTATGCACACATTTTGGTAGACACAGGGGGTCCTGGAACCAACCCGACATATACTGCAGGATGACTGTACTGTAAGAAAACTTATGCAAATGTGGTCTCTCTCTGTCTCTCAAAATATCTTATTGTATATAATATTTTAGAACTGAAACTGTAGCACGTGAAACTGCAGATAAATAACAGCTGTGTTTGGGATTTATACTTATTAGTATTTGTAGCTCTAGTGTATTCATTTTAACCAATGCACAGCATTATACTGCATAAGCAGATTACAATTTATTTCCCATTCCCCTACTGGACAACATGTACGTTATTTCTTATTTCATTAAAATAATGCTACAATGAAAACCATTTTTTCACGTCTCCTTATTTATATCTACAGAGTTACAGGTGGTCTACATTCAGCTTCATTATATTTTTGTCCAGTTGCTCTCCTTGGTAATTGGCACTCCCATCAACAATGCATGGATTCCTGTTGCTGCGCAACTTTGTCAATACTTTGTATTGTAAGATTTTTTAATGTCTGAAAATATGATGGGTAAGAGCATCCCCCTATTCCTTTATGTTTTTGAGACACGGTCTTGCTCTGTCACCCAGGCTGGAATGCAGTGGCGCTATTACGGCTCACTGCAGCCTCGACCACCCAGGCTCGAGTAGCTGGGACTACAGGCGTATGCTACCATGTCTGGCTAATTTTGTGTATTTTTTTTTATAAACGGAATTTTGCCATGTTGCCCACCCTGGTCTTGAACTCATGGGCCTCGGCCTCCCAAAGCGCTGCAATTTCAGGCATGAGCCACCATGCCTGTCCCCACTATTCCTTTAATTTGCATCTCCCCAATAATTCTTAATCAGTGTATCTTTTCCAATGTTAGCTGGTTATTTGGGTTTTCTTTCTATGGACTCCACAGGTATATCCTTTGACTATTCTCCTATTGGGTGGTCTTTTTCCTATTGTTTGGGAAATTCTTACATAGTCTAGAATTGAATCCTTTGTGAGTTACACTTAATACACATTATCTTCTTCAGTTTTATCATTTTTTACTTTTGTTTATGGCACCTTTTGATGCATGGAAATTTAAAATGTATGGCATTTAATCAATCTTTTCCTTACGACCTTTTGTGCCTTACTAAAGAGATCAGTATCTACCACAAGGACAATTAGGATTATGGCTTCTGTTTCCATTCATAGAATTTTGTTTCTATCTGCTTCTCTTTCAAAGGTATGCTTAGTTTGGTTAAAACCAAAATGACATACAGCTGTGACTTTTAAAATTTTCTCTCTTGTATCACAGCTATGCATATGCAACTGAAAGCGGTTTCCAATGTGTAATTTAATTCTATCTCAATTGAAATTTCCACATTTCTTTAAATTTCTAAAATTCCACCCAGCATGCCTATATTTTCTATTTCTAATGATCTGATTCTGGGACCAAAAGTCAGCTCTTTCTCATGAGTCTGTTAGCTCAAATATCACCTTCTTAAACAAGCCCTTTCAAGTCAATCTCTACTTCATTATCCTCCTTTATTTTCTTCACATTACTTCTCATTATTTAAAATTATGTTGACTTGCTTATTGTACGTTTCTCTCATCATTAGATTATATGGTCTATGAAAACAGATAGTGTGCTATATCCCCAACATGTAAAATAAATGGAGACCAAGGGACAGAGATATAATTTGTACCAAATCTCCTCAACCTTAGTTAAATATCTTCCCATCTCAAATATTTAGTCTCTTAAGCAGTGTTGTTTTCCTATGAATTACAAAATATAAAATCATAACAAAGATCACTAACATTTTAAAATGAAAAGCAAATTCTAATACCAAAAGTTAAACCTTTAACTTAAATTAATCCAAATTAAATTAAGCTTTAAAGCAGCCACAAATTGCTTTGTGCCTTCACTAGAAGAAATATTTCTGCTATTCAGGAGTAAGGGCCCCCCATCACATTTTGGCCCTAACTAAAACAAATACAATAGGAAAATGCATCAAAAGGGAAACAAATTATGATGTAGTTTTGTTTTTTTAATGGGATATATACTTTAAAAAATAGTCTCTATTTTCTAAATTTCTTGTAATATGGCTTTATAACTTAAAATGTTAAATTTTTTCATTCAAAAACAGGAAACAAAAAACTAGAAAACCAGGATATTTACTGACCCTTTTTCAACATTTTCTTTCTTGTTGTAGGAACAGATGAAGTTAATGCACATGCAAATGCCACATCTTCTATAACCTTAGAAGATCCTGCTGATAAAACAACAAAGAATCTTAAAATTTTTTCAAATTATCTCCTGTGCTAGAGAGTACAGGTACTTTCTAAGGGTAAGAAATAGAATACCTTTTTCACACTCTTATTTTAAGAGCTTATATTATTAAGCTAAATATTTGATAACCAAAATTACTACCTCTGACATTAAGCATATCTTTTCAACTGAGAGAAACGATATAGTCATTCATGGTAAGACTTGAGGAGAAGAAATGAAAGTAGGAGCAGTTGGCCGGGCGCAGTGGCTCATGCCTGTAATTCCAGCACTTTGGGAGGCTGAGACGGGTGGATCACGAGATCCTGGCTAATATGGTGAAACCCCGTCTCTAATAAAAATACAAAAAATTAGCCGGGCATAGTGGTGGGCGCCTGTAGGACCAACTACTCGGAAGGCTGAGGCAGGAGAATGGCGTCAGCCCAGGAGGCCGAGCTCCCAGTGAGCCGAGATTGGGTCACTATACTCCAGCCTGGGCGACAGAGCGAGACTCTGCCTCAAAAAAAAAAAAAAAAAAAAAAAGTAGAAGCAGTCATATGTAAAGTGATTCAGTTCTCAGGTGGAAGAAGAATTTTTCAAGGAAACAAATAGTTTGATTCCTAATGATAAGGCTGCCAAATTTACAGATCAGTCAAGATGATCAGTTATTTCCCAAATTGCAATACAATTTCTCAACGAATGAGAAATATAGTACGATCTGAATTACAGGAAAATAGAGCATATTTTAAAGAAAAAGAAAAAATATTAATTATTTTCACATCTGTATAATAATGTAAACTAACAATAATAGTATTGCCAGGAAGACATTCTCAACCTAATTTTGTAATTACTATTCATACTACACACATAGGTTTTACTGAAGTCATTTTATAGGTAGTAGAAAATTGTTTTAAGGATAGTTTAAATATTATTATACTGTAGATTTTAATTTGCAACTATTCATTCATTTTTCCTCCTTTACAAAATTAATTTAACACCCATGGTAAGCTCCACGAAGAGTTCAAATGTAAACATCAGCCAAGTTTAAGAGCTATTACTAAAACATTGCAACCTAGCGAGATACAAATCAATGGAGTTGTACTTTAATAATCTTGAAGTCTAGATTATGGGTATATAGTATACACATACCTTTTGCCCTGCCTTTAGTTTCGGACTGTACATTTTTCAGTTTGCCTAAAAATAAAACAAAAATAAACATAAAAATGTGCAAAATAGGACATTAGAATATAGGACACATTATCAAATCAAATCTATTACATGTTACCTTTCATTTTCTGTGGCAATTCACTTGTTTCAATTTCCTCTGAATCACTGCTTTCTATGTACTGGACAGCAGTTTTTCTTCTAAAATTAAGTATACACAAAGAAATTTTTGGACCAACCCAAATCAAAATAAGATACACGAACATGTTTAATGCAATAAAAAACTTTTGTACTACTTGTTTATTTTCTAAAAAATTTTTTAAAGATTTTGACAAATGAAAGTCAAATCTGCTAAAAACATTCTGCTTTCATAACCAGACAGATGCTTTTACTATACAAAATGGAGTACCACTGTTACTGTTTTTTCAGACAGGGTCTCACTCTTTTGCCCAGGATGGAGTACAGTGACACAGTCAGAAGTCACTGCAACCTCATACTCCTGGGCTCAAGTGATCATCCCACCTTAGCCTCGGGAGTACCTAGGACTACAGGTGCGTGCCACCACACCCAGCAAATTTCACTATTATTAAAATAAATTTGATAGCCGGGAATGGTGGCAGGTGCCTGTAGTCCCAGCTACTCATGAGGCTGAAGCAGGAGAATGGCGTGAACCCGGGAGGCAGAGCTTACAGTGAGTGGAGATTGCGCCACTGCACACCAGCCGGGCCAACAGAGCGAGACTCCGTCTCAAAAAAGTAAAATAAAATAAAATAAAATAGAGAAATTAAGTCATTCTAAAAAATTAATAATTTCAATACAAGGTTCAATATTTGGTAGTTCAACTAAAGCATGTAAAACTACAACAAAAAAGAATTGGCTCTTGGCCAGGCACTGTGGCTCATGTCTGTAATCCCAGCACTTTGGGAGGCAGAGGTGGGCGAATCACCTGAGGTCAAGAGTTTGAGACCAGCCTGGCTAACATGGTGAAACCCCGTTTCTACTGAAAATACAAAAACTAGCCAGGTGTGGTGATGCATGCCCGTAGTTCTAGCTGCTCAGGAGGCTGAGGCAGGAGAATTGCTTGAACCCGGGAGGCAGAGGTTGCAGTGAGCCGAGATCGTTCCATTGCACTACAGCCTGGGTGACAAGAGCAAAACTCCGTCTCAAAAAAAAAAAAGAAAAGAAAAGAAAAGAAAAATAACTGGCTCTCAAAGAAAATATTTCTAATACAATGAAATAAGCAGCCAAAAGGCAAAAATATAATTCTTTCACAATAGAAAATTTCATACATTTTGTGTAGAAAATTTAACAGTGATTAAGTGCCTAAGAGCAAAAAATTCTGAAGTCAGACTGCCTAGCTTCAAATCCTCATTCCACCAGTAATTTGTTATGTGATTTTAAGTAAATCACCTAATATTCTTCAATGTCTGTTTCCTCATAAGATAGAAATAAAAATATAATCCTCATAGAATAAAATGTTACTACATGCAAAAAGCCCCTAATGTTACTACATGCAAAAGTCTGTTACACAATAAGCATATCTGTATTAGCTATAACACATGTGTCAGTGTTGTTAGTTTTTCTCATGTCCTCACCATTATTATTTCTATGTCCTTTAATCTGATCCGGTCCAATTAACAGTGTTGTGTTACCCAGGTTTATGGTAAGTTCAAAGTTGTAACATTTGTCATTTATCTAAATCTCAAGGAATTAGATTTAGATAACACTGATGAGTTCTGGCTTTGTGCTTAGTTCAGATGGCTATTAATGACAGAACAATTTACACAGCCAGTTTCAAAACCTTTGTTGATGAAATAGCTAGCAGAGACAGATTTGTGATGACTTGTGTAGATACTGATGGTAGACAATATAACACAACAAAAGCCCAGTTTTTAGACCTACCTCAGAGGATAAATGAAGTTTGTAAAGTTAACAGATTCAAGACAAGATCAGAGGGGAATTACATCTTTTTTAAAATTCTCCCTCTAGTCTATGTTAATAAAATACTGTTCATAAATAACTTTATCATGTCTTATTTCCACTACATGTGAAGAACTGAAACGATCAAGAATGCTTTTGTCAAGCTATCTAATAAAATATTCTTCAGTTTTCATCCCCTTAAATCCACAAAGAAAACTTCTAAAATCTCAAAAAAAGCAAAAATCCCAAGATCTAGATCTCAGTTCCTTGATAAAGAAGTAAAAAAGTAGTAGAAAGATGAATGATTATTAAAATTTACCATTTCTTTTATAGGTCAGTATCATTTTTCTTCATCTGTAAAATGAGAATACCCTATCTGCCTAAGTCATCGTGATCTTGGCAGTTTCAAATAAAAGAATGTATTTGAAAGAACTACTTAACAAATATAATGGTCATGGTCACCTTTATCTCTCTCTTTTTCTTTTTTTTTGAGACGGAGTCTCGCTCTGTCACCCAGGCTGGAGTGCAGTGGTGCAATCTTGGCTCACTGCAAGCTCTGCCTCCCGGGTTCACGCCATTCTCCTGCCTAAGCCTCCTGAATAGTTGGGACTATAGGGACCCACCACCAGGCCTGGCTAATTTTTTTCTATTTTTAGTAGAGACGGGGTTTCACCACGTTAGCCAGGATGGTCTTGATTTCCTGACCTTGTGATCTGCCTGCCTTAGCCTCCCAAAGTGCTGGGATTACAGGTGTGAGCCATTGTGCCCAGCCTCTATCTCTCTTACACATAAGAAAACAGGGTCTAAATAAACATATGACATAATCAAACCATAATAGTTTACCTTTTGGGGCGGGAGCTAGACAATTCTGACATGCGACACTTACTCTTCTCCTTGACATCTGAAATACTGGGTTGTTCACTACATCTAGATGCTTCTATTTCAAAGAAAAATGCAAATATAAAGTATTAGTAAGGTGTCTTAGAAACTAGTATTATCCCTCTTAAAACCTTGGTTTTCTAATTACTGATTTTCAGTTTTCTTAACATCTTCATTCCTTTCATTACTCTATTTTCTCTACTTTTTTCCTAATCTAGTATTTCCTCATTTCTAATTAAAAAGTACCTTCAAATTTTTATGACCCAGTCTTTTCTTTGTACTTATCCAGCCAATCCCCACACTAGCTGAATGTTTTGCTATACCAAGGCAGCTAAGAGCTACTGGAACCACAAATAGGTGCTGTTATAAATTTTCATGTTCAAATCTCAGCTGTCACCTTGTGTCACTTGGTAACTCTTCTTACTAAACACTGTTCAGCTCCCCTACCCATTCATCAGCATGATCCATACCAGAATGATCCATACTATATTGACCCCTTTGCCTAGATTCTAACTCCTTTTATTCCAAGATGACCTATTTCACTTTACAAAGAAAATGAGATGGTATCTTCCATAAAAATCTCAATTTTCCTATCTTTTAATGCACTCATTTATCTATACTTTCCCTCAACCTTACTTCTTTCCTTCTACTGCTAACTCATCTACCTATTCTCCTGATTCTATTTCCTCCCACAACCTACTAGTCTCTCTACTAAATCCAAAATCTCATGGATTCCTTTCTTAAAACCACAGAACAAAATCAAAAACAAAAAAAAAAACCCTCATCTTACCCTAACTCAGCCACTTATTTCTTTCCTATTCCAAACTTAATAGCACGCAACTGTTATTTACAATTTTTCACCTACTACTCTTAAAATATTTTTGTTCTGTTCTAATCTATCTTTAGAAATTAACTTTATGAAGGTCATTTAACTGTAAAATCCACAGATCTCTTTCCATTTCTCCGATGACTTCAGAATTTGGCTCTAAAGCTAGCTTTTCAGCATTATCTGCTGTCATCCATGCGTATTACATTTTAAATACAATAAAATTCACTGAGGTCCCAAAATAAAACATATTCTTTTTAAAGTATCCTTTCATGAGATTTTTTTTCACAACCCAAAATGCTCTTCCCCAGTTCTCTAAATGGTATACTACCCAATTCAATCATCTCCTTGATGAAACCTTTCCTACCAGTACTCAGGAAAGACCTTTTAAAAAAGAGATCCTAAATTTTTGTACAGTACAAAACCAAAACTAGAATTACAATATTAGGCTGAAAAAACACAAATCAAATATTGGGTCATATTCAAATTAAAGTTCACCAGATCAAATATTGGGTCATTTCAAAATTAAAATTTACCTTTGCTTAGTCCATCTGCCTTTTCACTGGTACTGTTTCCTCCAAGTTTCACAGCGTCATCGTTAACATTACATTCCTGGGTAAATAGGCATATTTCTTAAACAGTACTGCTATCAGTTTTAAATAACTTTAAATGCATCCTGTTTTATATTGCTTTACTTTGCATAATAAAAACGACTTAAATTGCTACCCAATTCTGGAGCAACTGAAGGGGAGGGTGAATAAGTGAAGAGGAAAATATACAAATTGATTTAAAATTTTTTCATAGGTATCTCAAAAAAAAAAAAAAAACTACTTGGTCTTTACCTTTTCAAAAGGAATACCGAAAGCAAATCTTAATCATAAATGACACATTAATGAAAAATTCAAGAACTGGGATTTACTTTATAATTAAGAATTCTCAGACTTCAAACTTTTCAAATCAATGTTCCATGTTCATATGGCAACACTGCACTCCGTCTCAAAAAATAAAATAAATTAAAAATCCAATAGAGATACATAACTAGAAGAGTTACTTTAGATAGTTAACGTCTAAGCATTAGCTCCGAGAAAGAGATAGTAAACATGTTTTTCATCAAACGTCCTATCCAGTCTTCAATAATTACTATAACCATTTATATTAAACAGTATGGGGGAAAAAAAAAAACGAAACGTTTATTCAAACATAAAGGATGTCCTTTGCATTCATCTTCTTCCTTTTTTCTTTTTTTCTGAGACAGAAATTCATTCTTGTTGCCCAGGCTGGAGTGCAAGGGCACAATCTTGGCTCATTGCAACCTCCACCTCCCAGGTTCAAGTGATTCTCCTGCCTCAGCCTCCCGAGGAACTATGATTACAGGCATGTGCCACCACACCCAGCTAATTTTGTATTTTCAGTAGAGACAGGGTTTCACCATGTTGGTCAGACTGGTCTCGAAGTCCTAACCTCAGGTGATCTGCCCGCCTCGGCCTTCCAAACTGCTGGGATTACAGGCATGAGTCACTGTGCCCAGCTTTGGATTATTCTTTATATCAAAATATTTTGCTCAGCAAACTTTTTCTCTATAAAGTTCAAAGATAAACTTTTTATCAGGTCCAAGCTGGATGAAATAATAGTATGTTAGAATCCAGAGGAATTTAAATCAGTATTTCAGTATACTTATGTTTGGAATATCTAAACACACTTGAAAGAGTGACTTTTTTTTTTTTTTTTAGTAAATCCCTGGCTGGAAATCACATCTTCAGTTGCCATTTCAATTAATGTAGCAACCCAAATATCCTAAAACCTTCCTACTATAAAACACACCTTAAATATGTAACTGATCTTGGGGAAAAATAAGAGAAATCCTTATTGTTAATTGATAATTTCTCAATTAATAATTGAGACTAAAGCCGTAAGCAGTCTTACGTGCTTCTATCAAATCTGGTAACCTAAAACTTCAGTTTCAATAACCAAATGTAGGAATAACAGGACATAAAACATTAGGTTGCTCAGGGTGAGGAACTGAATCTGAGACTTCAACAGGTTTAACTCTCAATAAAAGTAGAAAGTAGGAAATATAACTAAGTGCAGACATTAATAAAATAAAATCTCAATAGCACTGACAGGAAACTGATGTACTGCCTTCACTGAAAACTAAAAACAGGGAAGAATGGCAATTCAGAAGAGTTCAGAAAAGAAGTATATTGCATACATCTTTTTGCTATTTCCTTCTATTTAAGTTATTTGAATTTTCAGGTAAGAAAAGAAGTAACTGTTCCTCTCTAATAACATTTATTTTTCCCACTAAACTAATTTTTAATTCTTAGAGACCAAATATAATATTATATACATATATATATACACACATACACACACACACACAGTTTCAAGAAAAGTCACCCTTATTCTCATCACTAGGATGTAAGTTATTATTAACATTTTGGTACAGATAGTGTATGTGAACAGACTTAAAACACACATGAATATATTATTTACAAAGTGAGGAACCAAACTTCACACAAAGATTTGTACCTGTCATATTTTAACTAAAAAGAATCATGAAAGTGATTATTCATAAAAAATACTTAATGGTTGCATTGTTTTATTAATGTAAGTTTTATGGGTATATCGTTTAACTGTTCCCTTGTCAAAAGATGTTTCAAATTGTCCACTTTTATCTTATTTTTATTTGTTTTAGAGACAGGGTCTCACAATGTCACTGAGGCTGGAGTGCAATTGTGCAATCATAGCTGACCATAGGCTCAAACTCCTGGGCTCCAGCAATACTCCTGCTTCAGCCTCCCAGGTAGGTGGAACTACAGGCACCAGTCACCATGCCCAGCCTTTAAAACAATGTTGAGGAAAAAAAAAAACTTGTACTTTCTTTAGAAAAAATGAATTTCTGGTAACTCCTTTCAGATAGTTTCTTAGAAATGGCATTACTGACTGGCAAAATTGTTCAAAGATTATAAACAATTTTAAGTCTCTTGATACAAATTATCAATCGCTCTCAAGCATGTGACACCTGCTGGTGGCTCACACCTATAACCCCAGCACTTTCGGAGGCTGAGGCAGATAGATCGCTTGAATTCATGAGTTTGAGACCAGCCTGGACAACATGGCGAAATCCCATGACTTGAGACCAGGAGGCAGAGGTTATAGTGAGCCGAGATTGCAACACTGCACTCCAGCCTGGGCAACAGAGCCACACCTTGTCTGAAAACATAAAAAGAAGGTGGCACGAACTTTCATTCTTATCAGCCACACATGAGAGACAGAGAGACCATTCACCACATTTCTGAAAACACAATTTCTTGATAGTTTCTTTTAATGATGAAATTTAAAGATTTCACAATAAACTGGAGGTTTCACATAAAGTGCACTTACTACTACTTTACCTTCTTCAGTAGATTCTTTTTAACTCTTTCAATAGGAAGAGGTCTGCCATCATGGAAGTTGGTGAGGATTACTGCAATGGCTGTAAGAGTTTTACCCTTAAAAATGTTTTAAAAAGAAAAATGGTCAGATTCTGAAACCCAGTTCACCAGAAAAACATTCCCATTTTAAAATCAAGTAATCGAATATCAAATATCATTCAAGGCCACAAAAGTGTACTGTATATTATACATGTCAATGAAAAATGAATTAGAAAATGCTTTCCTCCACTGCATTATTAGGGAATTATTAAATTATTTACACTATAAAATACTACAAAGTATCTCTGAGAAATGTCATTTTATTGAATGACTGCTATTCTATAATTCTACATTTAACCTTGAACTATTGATTTTTATCATGCAACTATTTATAACTATTCATTTGCCATGAAGTTCGGAGCTAAAGTGATTAGTAATTCCAGTATGAATATAATCATTTTATTAAAATTTGACTTAAAGATAATACCAAGCTTAAAAGTCGTAACTTCTCCATAAAGCATAAAAGACAAATTTCTTATGTATTTTTCTTAAGTGGAAGCATGTAATTTTTCAATGTTTACTGCAGCTTAATTCATAGTTCGCAATACAGAAGTAAATCTCTGGCAATTTTAAAGCAGTGTAAATAATAGCAGTTTCAAAAGTGTGGTCCACAGGCCACTGGGGATGGGGAGGGTTTCCCAGGAGCCCTTCACGAAAATGTGAAGTCAAAACTGTTTTCATAATACTACTAAGACAGACCTTACTCTGTCAACATCTGCACTAATCCCACAAAAAGCGCAAATAGCAATGGTGAAAAAAATGCCTCAGCATAAAACAAAGCAGCTGGTAGTAAGGGGTATATTAGTACTAGTCATCACATTCTTAACTGCCACATAGTTTTTAAAAAAAGTTTTCCTTAAGAAAGTTCTTGGCTGGGCGCAGTGGCTAAGGCCTATAATCCCAGCACCTTGGGAGGCTGAGGCGGGTGGATCACCTGAGGTCAGGAGTTCAAGGCCAGCCTGACCAACATGGTGAAACTCCGTCTCTACTAGATACAAAAAATTGGCCAGGTGTGGTGGCGCATGCCTGTAATCTCAGCTACTTGGGAGGCTGAGGCAGGAGAATCACTTGAACCTGGGAGGCGCAGGGTGCAATGAGCCAAGATTAAACCACTGCACTCCGGCCTGGGCAACAAGAGTGAAACTGCATCTCAACAAAAAAAAAAAAAAAAGAAGAAGAAGAATGTTCTTGATGAAGCAGTATACATTAATTTTACTAAATCTCATTACTTAAGTACAAATCTTCTTAATATTCTGTGTAGTGAAATGGTAATTACATATGAACTACTTCTGTTGCGTATCAAACTATGAGGGTTAGCTAGAGAAAAATCACTCAAGATGGGAGTTATAAGCTCAACTAATCACTTTTTTCATGCAATACCATTTTTACTTGAATGACAACTATCAATCACGACTATCTAAAAGATATTTTCTTAAAAATGAACAAAGTGAGACTGTCATCTACAAAGGAACTAACTGAGATTATTTGTAAATGATAAAATGTGAGTTTTCAATAGAAAATTAGAATGTTGGAAAAGTTGTGACACTATGAACATAGTGCCTTCCCAAAATGTAAATGATTTTCTAATAACATCAGTGGTAACATTAATGAATGTAAGTTTTGGATATTGCATACGAAATACATCAACATTTGGCAGGTCTGCCCAACTCAGTGAACCAACATTTTCTAAAAGAGCAATGCTTGGTGTTATAAAAATCATACATGGGTAAAATATCCATTCAATGGGCAAGATACGCAAATAGATTTTAATGGAACAGGGTATAAAAAGCTCACTGATATGATTTAGCATTCTGTATTACAACAATTAACCTTTAATAAACTAATACTTACTAAATTTTGATGTAGTATATCAAAGAAATCTGCAATTACCTAAAAAGCTATTAAAATATTCCTTCCTTTACAACTACATACCGTCGTAAGGACAAACTTTCTTCATATACTTCAACCAAAACAACCTAACAGAGCAGACTGAATGAAGAAGCAGGTGAGAATTCAGCTGCCATCTATTCGGCCAAACACAGAGATGTGCAAAAATGTAAAACAATGCCAGGTGTCTCAACAAAATTGTTAAGTGTTTTGGCATACTTTTCATTTAAAAATATGCTATTTATGTTAACAAGTAATGAGTTTGTACTGTTAACTTTAGTTACCACTGGCTAATACTATAAATACTGATAACAGCACCCAAAAACAAAAGTTCTTTGAGACCATTAATTTTTATAAGTAGAAGGGGTTACTGAGACCGAAAAATATAAAAACTGCTAGTGTAAGGACCCATAAATATTACTCTGCATACCACAATATTTGTGCTGGAATACAACTTCACATAACATTGTTTTGTCTTTACTTTTTAAAAGAAAACCTATGAAAGACAGGTCACCCTGAATTTCAAAGAGCAAAGAAAATTGAGAAACATGGCCAGACAGGGTGGCCTACATCTGTAATCCCAGCACTTTGGGAGGCCAAGGCGGGTGGATCACTTGAAGTCAGGAGTTCAAAATCAGCCTGACCAACGTGGTGAAACCCTGCCTCTACTAAAAATATAAAAATTAGCTGGGTATGGTGGCACATGCCTGTAATCCCAGCTATTTGGGAGGCTGAGACAGGAGAAATGCTTGAACCTGGGAGGCAGAGGCTGCAGTGAGCCAAGATCGCGTCACTGCACTCCAGCCTGGGTGACAGAGCAAGACTCTACCTCAAAAAAAAAAAAAAAAAAGAAAACTGAGGAAAACATCTTTATACCATTATTGTTACCTAATTATTTTAATTGTACTTTAACCAAACCAAAACTTTACCACTATTTTAAGTAAAAACTATAGGAAACACTGTGTTCTACAAAGATAGTAAAAATCTAGTCCCAAACTGGTACCAACATATTCCTATCTCTTTTTACTTCAAAATTACTTTCTAGAAAATCATCATCATAAAATTAGATTTTATTAACTAAAAAAAAAATAATTACCAAACCCATATCATCAGCTAAAATTCCTCCATGGACATTTTCTGGTCGGTCCTTCTCAGAAAAATTTGTTATTGTGTTATAGTATAAGTCATTTCGCTGTTCCCAGAATGGTGGAAGTTCTTTGCTGTTTTCCCGTGACACCATCCAAGCTAGAGCTTGTTTTTGATGTGGAAGCAGTGGTGTTTCAATAGCCTATAAAAAAAAAGTCATAAAGGCAAATACAGTAAGTCATTCCTTTTTTCACATGCAGATCCTGTGATTAAACAAAGAGTAGATTATAAGTACGTTTAAACATTCTGAGTAGTCTTAAATAAAAAATATTGGTTCAATACCTCAGCTGGTTCCATTTCATGGGTTTTATCATCTTCTTTCAAATCTTCAAACAATTTGTCAAATTCTGTTTTAAGCTACAACAAACAGCAACAAGAAATAATGTAAAACAAACTAATTAAAATAATACTTGCATGTAAGTCAGATTTGAAATCATTTAGTTAATTAACTGACATTAATGTCAAATGGGCCAGGAGTGGTGGCTCATGCCAATAATCCCAGCACTTTAGGAGACCAAGGTGGGAGGATCAGGAGTTTGAGACTAGCCTGGACAACATAGTGAGAGATCCCATCTCTACAAAAAAATTTTTACAAAATTAGCCAGGCATGGTGGTACATGCCTGTAGTTCTGGCTCCTAGGGATGCTGAGATGGGAGGATCACTTGAGCCCAGCAGGTAGAGGCTACAGTGAGCCATGATTATGCCACTGCACTCCAGTCTGGGCAAGTAAGTAAGACCCAGTCCCAAAAACTTAAAAAACTGAAATTAAATTAAATTTAAAAAACACAAAATAGTCAAACGTCAAAAAGGCACATAAATCAACCCTAGGATTACACTACTCACTGAAGAGATAACGAACAGGTGCTTTAGTTTTTAGGAGGTAAAAGAATATAGAAGAGTTTTAAGTCCTGAGTTTCAGTCACAGTTTTATCACAAATAAGCTTACATACAAGTTTTGGCAAGACTTGACCTTTATGGCCCCATGTCTTATTCCTATAAAATGAAAGGGATGAACTAAATTTAGATTGTCTCTAAGGTTCCTTCTACCATTAAAATTCTGTGATGCTATCAGTTGTATTCAAAATATTTTGTCAGTCCTACTAGGTCAATGATATTCCATTTATTATTACTGCAATAGGGAACCTGCCATGCACTATAGGATACTTTTATTATTACGCTAATTTAATTGACTATTTAAACTAGGTTAGTCCAATTTTATATCAACATATATGTGATACAGATATTTTTGAAAATTAACACATAAACACAGCAGCAGCTCAGAAGAAATCAGGCCAAGACTAAAAAATCAGAAGTAACCTGGGGTTTATCTACCAGAAACATGCTCAAGTCCTTCTAACAATAAGCAGGGGAAATATGGTAACTACAATTAGTAGATAAAAGGACTAACACTGGTAGATACAAACATCAAAAAAAGTTTAATGTTATTTTTAAATTGATCAGCATTAGTTTATTTTATATACTTTTTTTCAAAGAAATTCAGCATAACGTCATCCTAAATTATAAATTAGACAAAGATAATGTGAAGAATTGGGAGTTAATTCTTTCACATTGCATTTGCAAAATTACTGAAAGGAGTAAGTCTCAACTTCAATTTTTTTCTTAAAATTACTACATGAACATTTAAAGCATTTCAAATACAAAAACATGCTATGCATAAACAGTAACGTGTGTGTTTTGCATGTTAGGTACAAATGTTCACGTATGGATTTATTTCTTATCAGAACTTTTTACATAAAATGTTAACATATATATGTATATACTATTCTATAACATGTTTCATTACAAATATATTTGAAGATGATATAATACCCATACGTACATATTCATCCTGTTCTTTTAAATACAACCCGCAACATTTGATATTCACTTTTAGATTACAAAATAAAAGAGAAGCACACCTGTTCGGTTGTCATCTGTACTGCAGCATGCACTGGCATACTATAGCTTGGTCCAGCTCTTCCAGAGCCCCAACCACTTTCCAAATTGAATCCTAAAGCTATAATTTACAAAATAAAAAGAATAAAGCCATCAAATAAAATAGGTTTTTATCTTTTATTAAGTAGCTTTTAAAATGTTCATAACAGGCCTGGGTGCTGTGGCTCACGCCTGTAACCCCAGTACTTTGGGAGGCCAAGGCAGGTGGTTTGCTTGAGCCCAGAAGTTCGAGACTAGCCTGGGCAACACGGTGAAATTCTGTCTGTAAAAAAAATACAAAAATTAGCAGAGCATGATGGTGTGCACTTGTAGACCCAGCTACTTGGGAGGCTCAGGTGGAGGGATTGCTGGAGCACAGGAGGTCAAGGTTGCACCGAGCCATTGATTGTGGCCACTGTACTCCAGCCCAGGTGACAGAGCAAGACTCTGTCTCAAAATATATACACAAATAAATAAATAAAATGTGCATAATAAACTGCATTAAGCCTTGTATTTTAGAGGTTTTTAAAAAGCTAAATACTAAATCACTCAAAAAACACAATTCCACATTATTTGCACAAACTCTTGCCAAGCACTCCTTTTCGTTCACTATTAGAAGATTCTCTTTGTCTAAAATTTATCAAAAAGAATGTTTAAAGTCAGGAGTTTCCGATGTTACCATTAGGGAAAATTACGGGAGGGTATATACGAGAATTCCTTGTATATATACTTTTTCTTTAATTTTTTTGTTTAATATTCCCTCACTATTCTGACCGTGTATATTTTTATGTGTGAATCTATTTGAATAGAGGCAAAAGGAAAAATCAGAGACTTTCTCAAAAAGACTCCTGAAAAAAACTTGTACCTTGGAGCCTTGAGCACAAATTAGCCAACAAACTCCAAGAGAGAATAAATGTTTCATAATCCCTGCATCTTATAATATCAGAATAATATTAAGTCAAACCCTAAACTTACTTTTTGGTGCAGGACCCAATTTAAATCCATGTTTCTTCAACTGATCTGAAACCGCTTTTCTATTTTCCTCTTTTCCCCAAAAAGTCATATGCAGAGGCATGGTAAAAGCATTGTTTGCACCAAAAGGAACAACCCTATTATATTTGGGAGAAAAAGAAAGGGAAATTAGAAGCATTACTTTTTATCCCCACTAAGAAGTAGTTCAATATTTTAAATGCATCATTTACATTTTACGTGGAAGTAAAGTAACAAGGAACCAGTTGGGCAGACTTGAAAGAAAAAAAGGACAAGGAATAGAATCACAATCAGAAGAAAAGGGTGATTTTTAGAAACAGAGTGTCAGAAAAAATTGAGAAAATGGAATAAAGCACTTTTAAAAATGCAAGGATGGCCTGTAAACAAGATTGTAATATAAGTAAAGTAAGTTAAATGAAAGGGTAGAGCTTCGGCTAATGGAACCACTGAGGGTAGTAACTCATTCTGCTTGGAAAATGGGGAATGCAAGAACTTGTGATTCACTAAGTTATTCTCAATAACTGAAAAACCTGATAAACTGAAAAAGGAGAAAACAAAGTGAGACATTACTGAGCATTTATTTTATCTTCCAAACTCACCTAGGATTATGATATGAATATCCTAAAAATTAGAATTAGAATATCAAGATCCTAAATATTCTGGATACTTAAATTGAGATCACAAGTACAAATGCCTAAAAGAGAAAAGGTAACTGAAAGACTAGAAAGAGTTTAAAAAAAGAAAAAAGAAAGAAATAGGTGATAAAACTGGGACAGCATATGCCCTAGCTAAAGGGAGAGTTCCAGTCAACTGTTGTCATATGGAAGTGACAACTCATCCTGCATTGCCAGATTTTCCACTTGTTGAGAGAAAAATAAGTTTTTTGTATTTAAGGAAATAAATTAATATGTATAAAATGCAGACTAGCAAGGTATTTCAATATTAGTACTAAACGAAAAAATGTTTAAAACACTGTAGGGCAAAATGAAATTCACCTACATCATATCACAGAACACCAGTTTATAACCTCTGATATAAACAAACACTTCCAGGCCAGGCGCAGTGGCTCACGCCTGTAATCCCAGCATTTTGGGAGGCTGAGGGGGGCAGATCACCTGAGGTCAAGAGTTCGAGACCAGCCTGGCCAACATGGCAAATCCCTGTTGCTACTAAAAAATACAAAAATCAGCTGGGCATGGTGGCGGGCGCCTGTAGCTACTCTGGAGGCTAGGGCAGGGAGAGTTGCTTGAACCCGGGAGGCAGAGGTTGCAGTGAGCCGAGATCACACAACTGCACTACAGCCTGGGTGACAGAGTGAGACTCTGTCTCAAAATAAATAAACAAACAAACAAACACTTCCAAATTCCTAAACCTAGTTACCAAAAGGTTTGGAGAAATGGAATGTACTTCCTAATATTTGAACCAAGGTCTATTTTCTCCATGGTAATAATTCCAAAGGAAAATGAGAGGACAATTGTTTGATGACTGGGGTAGTAGAAGTATGTAGAAGGAGAATTAAAACTTTATTTAACACATACCAAGAGTACAGTGATAGAAATTGTTAGCAAACCTTTATAGGCTCTAACAAGAAGGCCTAACTAGTTCAAAGACGACTATAATTCACAATTATTAAAACTAAATTCTGAAAGTACATTACCCTTCAACTTGTGCCAATTTGTTGTCCATGATATAGGCCAAAGCACCTGCAAGATCTTTCTTTAAATGGCCAACCTGATTTCCATTCACATTGTTTACTTTAATTGCATTCTTATCATAAGGGTTATTAGGATCTCGTTGTAATGCAACCATTTCATTATTATTAACCTAATAAAAATGATAAAGAGATAATATTACATTACAAATAATAGACAATAACTCTGTTATACTTTATCTGGGATTTCCATTCATTTTTTAATGTTACTGCTAAACACTGCACATAAGAAAAATATATTTTCTTAGACACAAACTACAGAAACATTAACATATTTATTATATTCTTTAATATTACTTTTCTAATCTATATTCATTAGAAAGTTAACAAATCCTTAATGTCTAAAAAATAGTCAAACGTAAACTAGCAAATTCAAATTATCTTAAAATTTTCAACATCATAACTTCTGAAAAATAGCTAACCTTTATTGAGTGCTTACTATGTGCCAAGCATTGGTCTAAGTACATTGCACAGACTGACTTTTTAAATCCTCACAGCTCTATTGGGAGGTACTATCATTATTCCCATTTTACAAATGAAGAAACTGAAACACAGAAAAGTTAAGTAACTTGCTCAAGGTCACAAAGTTAAAAAGTAGCAGAGCTAAGATCTGAACCCAGACAGGGTGGTTCCTGAGCCTCAATTCTCCAGAATCTAAAAGTCAGGGAATAAGGCATTTATAAGTCAGGATGGAACTAGGTAAGAAAAATATATCCAGCCTTCAACTCATGCCATTCTCATTCTACTTTATTAAAAACTGTATGATGTAACTTAAATATTACAATGTATATTTTTAAAAACTGAAGGAGTGTAACACAACAAAGAATGGTAGAACAAGGACTTTCAAAAATTTCTCAATAAAAGCAACAAAAGGCCGGGCGCAGTGGCTCACTCGTGTAATCTCAGCACTTTGGGAGGCCGAGGCGGGCGGAGGTCAGGAGATCGAGACCATCCTGGCGAACATGGTGAAACCCCGTCTCTACTAAAAATACAAAAAAAAAAATTAGCCGGGCGTGGTGGCGGGCGCCTGTAGCCCCAGCTACTCGGGAGGCTGAGGCAGGAGAATGGCGTGAACCCGGGAGGCGGAGCTTGCAGTGAGCCGAGATCGTGCCACTGCACTCCAGCCTGGGCGACAGCCAGACTCTGTCTCAAAAGAAAAAAAAAAAAAAAAAAAACAAAAAACTAGATAAATTATTTGTCAGAATCAAATGTTACAGAACACTGAGAACTAAATCAAAGGCTTGCAGAAATCTGGGTAACACTTATTCAAGAATAAAAAGAATAAACAGCTGAATAACAGTACTTCAGTCCCATCCCCAGCAATACTGTAGCCTTTAAAAATAAGAGCATGTGGCCAGGCACAGTAGCTCACGACCCCAGCAGTTTGGGAGGCCGAGGCGGGCAGATCACGAGGTCAAGAAATCAAGACCATCCTGGCCAACATGGTGAGACCCTATCTCTACTAAAAATACAAAAATTAGCTGGGTGTGGTGGCGTGCACCTGTAGTCCTAGCTACTTGGGAGGCTGAGGCAGGAGAATCGTTTGAACCTAGGAGGTGGAGGTTGCAGTGAGCCGAGATAGCACCACTGCACTCCAGCCTGGCAACAGAGCGAGACTCCATCTCAAAAAAATAAAATAAATAAATAAATAAACAAACAAACAAACAAACATAAAAATAATAGCTTGTTGGGATCCTAGGTAAAGCCTGGCAGTCAACAGAGAAAAACAGAATGGAGTTACGGTTCTTTCAGAGATTCATTCCCAAGGAACTGTTATTCTCCTGAAGTTCCCCAGAAGACCCCACTTGCAAGGTTGACTGTATTTAACCTCTGAGCTCACCAAGTACAAAAAAACCTCCCTTGGGTGAATGTTTGTCAGAAACAATTTTCCAGGAAAGCGTTTTAACTTCATGGCTGCCTGAGGCAAAAAAACAAAAAGGCTTGTAAAGAAGAGCTAGGGAATGAGATGTCTGTGATGGCTTTGAAAAGCTCCAATGTATTTCTGGAAATCTAGAAGGCCATAAGCAGGCACAGGGCTGGTATGCATGACCAGGGCTGTGCACATTCCCAAGAAAGACCTGAGAAGGCCCTAAACTCTCACCTTTGCCTGAACTTGAGGTATTTAAACAAGCTAGAAGTGAAAGCTAAAGCAGAGTTGTCAAGTGCCTTAGAATGTTGAAGGAATGTCTCAACATACAGAAGTTCTCAGCAAAGAATGTGCAATTTATTTGTTCCAGCACAATCATTAGCTGACCACTAAGCTATCCAAGTACAGACTTCAGTGACCACACACGATAAAGGATAGACATTATAGAATTAATTCAGAAAAATCACTAACACACACACAATTAATTACAAAAATCAGCAACAACAAACCACCCTGGAAGGGAGGAGAATCTGATTTCCAGAGTTGCCACATTATTTAAAATGTCAAATTTTCAAGAAAAAAAGTACAAGACATGCAAAAAAATGAGAAAGTATGGTCTATACACAGAATCAATGTCAACTGTCCCCAAGAAAGTATAGATGTTTCACACAGTAGAAAAAGAATTTAAGTCAGTTATTTTAAATATGTTCAAAGGGGCTGGGCATGGTGGCTCACACTTGTAATCCCAGCACTTTAGGAGGCTGATGTGGGAGGGATCTCTTGAGGCCAGGAATCTGAGACCAGCCTGGGAAACATAGCAAGACCCCATTTCTACAAAATAAAAATAGAAAAATTAGCCAGGTATGGTGGTACATGCCTGTAGTCCCAGCTACTCAAGAGTCTGAGGTGGGAGGACTGCTTGAATCCAGTTCAAGGTTACGGTGAGCTATGATCACGCCACTGCAGTCCAGCCTGGGTAACAGAGCAAGACCTTATCTCTAAAAAAATTAAAAAGTTCAAAGACCTAAAGCAAACCATTTCTTTTGACATGAAAACGCATGTCTAAAAGCATGAAAACAATGTCTCACCAAACAGCAATTCTAGAGTCAAAAGGTACAATAACTGAAGAAAAAATTCACCAGAGAGACTCAACAGCAAATTTGAGCAGGCATAAGAAAAATCAGTGAAGCTGAAGATAGGTCAATTGAGATTATACAATCTAAGGAACAAAAAAATGAAACACATAACACAGCCTCAGAAACTTGTAACATCAAGTATACTAACATACATACATAATAAAAATACCATAAGGAGAAAAGAGAAAGGGGCAAAAAAAAAAATTTAAAGAAATAACAGCCAAAAACTTCCCAATTTGATGAAAACTACTACTCTACACATACAAGACGCTCAACAACTCCAACTAAAATGAACTCAAAGAGATTCACACCTGATCACATCATAATCTGTCAAAAGAAGTTTGAGACCAGCTGGGACAACAGAGCAACAGTTTCAAAAAAAAAAAAAAAATTATTTAAAAAAATAAAAAATAAATTTTTAAGCATAATTTTTTGTAACTTTTGTCCTATCTGACTAAAAAGTATATAAATTATAAATCTTTGTTGATAGGTATACTACATATATAAAGATATACCTTGTATGATAACAGCACAAAAGAAGGCAAAAGGATGGAGCTGTGAGCAAAAGTTTTTTTCGGGGGTTTTTGTTGTTGTTTTGAGACAGAGCCTTGCTCTGTCGCCAGGCTAGAGTACAGTTGCACAATCTCGGCTCACTGCAACCTCTGACTCCCTAGTTCATGTGATTATCCTGCCTCAGCCTCCCGAGTAGCTGGGACTACAGGCAGGTGCCACCATGCCCAGCTAATTTTTGTATTTTTAGTAGAGATGGGGTTTCACCACATTGGCTGGGATGGTCTCGATCTCCTGACCTCGTGATCCGCCCACCTTGGCCTCCCAAAGTGCTGGGATTACAAGCATGAGCCATCATGCCCGGCCGCAAAGTTTTTTTATATACTATTAAGTTGGCACTAATCCAAACTAGGTTCTTATAAATTAAGTTGTTAATTGTAGTCCCTAAAGTAATCATATGTAACTCAAAATATATAGTAAAAGAAACAAGGGAATTAAAATGGTACACTAAAAAAAAAAATCTACTTAACATAAAAGTGAGTATTGGAGGCCAGACCCAAATGCTACATATTGTATCATTCCATTTACATGAAATGTCAAGAGGAGGCAAATCCATATACACAGGAAGTAGAATGATTCATGGTTGCCAGGGAATGAGGGGTAGAGGTAATGGGAGTGACTACAAATGGGAATGAGGTTTCTTTTTGGAGTAATGAAAATGTTTTGGAACTAGATTGTAGGGATGGTTGCACAACCTTATGAGTATTCTAAAAACTACTCAACTGTGTACTTTAAAATGGTAAATTTTATTATAAATGTATCTCAATTTTTAAAAATTCCTTTAAAATATACAAGAAAGCGGCTTCAAACTTCTCCCAGCATCTGTCTACTGACTCAAGAGATTACAACCAGAACCAAACAGAGTATTAGACAGATATTCATCTCTAGCCCTTTGGAGATATTATCTATGAGGCATAGCTATGCTCTCTCCCAGTCACCACCCCTCTGCCACTGCCTACAGGATGATCTTTTTTAAACCGTATTATGCAAATCCTAGAAAATACATAACCAAAAAAAAAAAAAAAGCAGGGCACAAAACTAACAATTTTTGAGCATTTCATCTCAAATAAGGTATTACATAATTGTAATTTATCATAATAAGCTATCATTAACTGTCATTACAAATAACTACTAGAATTTTAAATAAAATATATAAGCCAAAATATTGGAGACTATAAAAACAAAAACATGGTTCCAGCAGCAAAAAAAAAATAGAACATATAAAAAACACACAAAGAATAACAAAAGGAATGAGAATTAATCATAACAGTATACTCATACCCTGCATAACAACATTTCAGCAATGACAGACCACATATATTATGCAATAGCAGATTATAATGGGGCTTCACTATAGAAGTGTACCATTTTTTATCTTTTATACAATATTTTTACTGTACTTTTTTCATGTTATATATGCTTAAATACACAAATGTGTTACAATTGCCCACAGTATTCAGTAAAGTAACATCTTATTCACTCTACGTTCCCACAAAGAAATCACCTAACACATTTCTCAGAAAGTATCTTCATTGTTAACCAACACATAACTGTATTTTAAAATAGAAAAAGAAATAAACCACCTTATTATAAAATAAAGCCATTGATGGGTCAAAAAATAAAAAATTTAACCATACGCTTATTGAAAACACACTTAAAAAAAAAACAACAAAACAAAGAAAAAATAAAAATAAGAATAAAAAAACACCAGAGTTAAAAATAAAGAATGATACTATATAACAAATCTTGGTGGCTAAAGGCAATGCAATACTTACACGTTTAAAGATTAAAAGATTAAATGACTCAAATTAAGGTTCAAATTGCAAGTCCAACAGAAAAAAAAAGAAAATGAACCTAAGTAGAAAAACCGAATGTAAGAGAGTAATTATTAAGCCAAGAAACATAATCATTAAGAAAAATCTACGAGAGGCTGTCTTGAAATGATGTCACAGTTAATCAATAAAAAAGACACAAATGTATAATGCAAAGAATAAAAACAGGAACACAACCACCTTTTTTTTAAAGTTTTTAAAAAGTTTAATGGAGCCAATAAGGCATATAAAATTGTGTTCTGGCAGACATTTAAAAAATGGCACATTTTATCAAAATTTGACAATTCACTGTTAAGAGTACTGAAATTAAGGTTCAGAGCACCAACTTAAAACAACCAAAAAAATGGTTATTCAACTTGGAAAGAGGAACTAGAACCAAGGCATAAACGGGAGTTTAAATACGTGTTCCTTGATCTCAAAATCCTTCAGGAATAGGAGTTCTGGTCACTTGTGAGCATCACAAGTTTGTCACACCACCAAATCCCAATTCCAGAAAATCTGAGTTACAATTTTATAAGGATACATGATTACTATGCACAATTCTATGGGAATAAGTTCCACTACCTAAATAAAATGGATGCTTTTCTTCAAAAATATAAATAACCAAAATTGACCAAAGAAGTACTTAAATTACGCTGAGTGAAAAATGCCAGACTTAAAATAGTACATATTGTATAATTCAATGTACGTGAAGTTCTAGAATAGGCAAAACTTATCTATAGTGATAGAAATCAGACTTGCAGTTGCCTAGGGCAGGAGCAGGGAAAAATGATTGTAATAGGATACAAGATACTTTCAGGGAGATGGATACAATCTGTATCTTGATTGGGGTAATAGTTATCAGGTATACATCTTTGTCAAAACACTAGGATCATACATTTAAAATATGTACATTTTATCATATGTAAACCACATCTCAATAAAGATGACAAAACTTAAAATAACAAGTATGCAAAGATAGTACCTCAATTTTTATTACTTTTTTATAATAGTGATTAACTCAAAAATGTCCATCAATAAGGAAATTATAAGTCCAATATAGATGATATTCCTAATCACATTAGGGATAATATGATCTTATTTTTATTAACATGTAATATGATTCCAATTTACATGCATATACTCACACAAGTGTAGAAGATAAGTTACGGTTCTGAATGATACACTTTAGAAGATTTAATGCTTTTTTAGCCATTTAAAAATAATGAACATGGCTGGGCGCGATGGCTCATGCCTGTAATTCCAGCACTTTGGAAGGCCAAGGTGAGTGGATCACCTGAGGTCAGGAGTTCAAGACCAGCCTGACCAACATGGCAAAACCTCATCTCTCCTAAATACAAAAAGTTAGCTGGGTGTGATGGTGCATGCCTGTAATCCCAGCTACTTAGGAGGCTGTTGCAGAAAAACCGCTTGAACCTGGGAGGCAGAGGTTGCAGTGAGCCAAGACTGCACCACTACACTCCAGCCTGGGCAACACAAGCAAGATTCTGTCTCAGAAAAAAAAAAAAAAAAAGAACATGTATTAATTATAAAATAAATGATATCTCAACACAGTGTTCCTGGAAAAAATAAAATTTAAAATATATATATTTGGCAAAAGAAGAAAACTGATGATTACATTTTTTCAACACACATTAGCTTACCGAGGTCACAGAGATTATTCTCAGATCCAAAATACTGATTGTTCTAAGATCAATAACTACCATAATCTAGTATTTCATGGTGGTATAAAATAATTATTGAAAACAATGTAAGTTTTGAAAAATTAGCACAAATCTGAAACAGAAAAGCTCAGAAATGCATATGAGAGCTAGAGAATACATAGATACGAAATAAGAACTGATAGATTTCAAGAATCTATTAGAAAAAACTAGAGGCTGGGCACAGAATCTCAGCACGTGGGGAGGCCAAGGTGGGCGGATCACTTGAGCCCAGGAGTTCCAGATCAGCCTGGACAACATACCAAAACCTACAAAAAAATACAAAAAAAAATACAAAAACTAGCTGGGTATGGTGGCAAACACCTGCAGTCCCAGCTACTCGGGAGGCTGAAGTGGGAGAACTGCTTGAGTCTGAGAGGCAGAGATTGCCGTGAGGCCAGATCAGGCCACTGCACTCCAGCCTGGGCAACAAAACGAAACTTGGTCTCAAAAAAAAAGGAAAAAAAAAAAAAATCCAATTCTCTTAAGTGAAAGAGAAAATCACACTGGCCTGAAAATTCTATACAACATTAGGATATGGAGAGAAACTATATATTACAAAGATTTTAAATTCAGCCCAACTGTCATTAAGTCCTTCACAACTTTCATTTTATGAAACTGTCATTCATAAAATGCCACAATTATGACAAAAACTTAGGAAATACTGTTTCTTCCTAAGGAATCTCCTAGACAACACATTTCAGACAATCAAAAAACAACTTGTAAAGTTTCAATGTAAAGGAAATATAGGAGAAAAACAAATCCAGAACATGAAACTCCCAAGGAATCTCCTGCTGAACATGCTTCAGACACCCAAAAATAAAAAAGATTTAAGAAGCTTAAAAGTAAGAAACATACGGAGAAACGAAAGAATAAAATCCAGAAGATTTCACAAAACTACCTCCTTTTTGCAACAAATCGATGACATGAACAAGGCACTGGGGTGTGGGGGCGGGGTGTTACCCATTAATAACTAAACATAGCGCACTGAGACCAAGCATAGTGGCTCACTCCTGTAATCCCAACACTCTGGGAGGCTGAGGTGGGAGGGTCACTTGAGGTATTTTTTATTTTTGGGGTACAAATATTTCATTAACTTAAAGTAAAATAAAGATGAACCGTACACATCACCTGCTAATTCTATTTTCTAGATTAACGCCACAAATATAATCAAAATTCAATTTAGTTATCTACTATTATACTCACTACTCCCGTGTAATAGCGTAGTCCAACCACATGACCTCTCAAACTTCCAAATAAAACGGAATCTAGTTCTTCATCACTAGTTAGGAAGTCATCTGGAGGGATAACATCTTGGAACTCAAAACGTGGAAAGAAAGTTGGATATGAGAGGCGTGGAAAATTTCCATGAACTCCATACTGCACAGTCTGCAAGTACTTCCAAACAGGATCCCTATTTTTTTTTAAAGGCAAAGAAAAACAGTATTTAAGTACTTCCAAAGACCATATGAGTGGTTTTCTCATGCTTTACTTCAGCAAATGAAATCTTACATGGGAATCACAGTAAAGATTAATAGTTAGTTACTCTCGTTAAAGCAGGAATTGCAGTGAGTGGAGAAGGCTTCCCAGGAACTTTACTTGTTTTCAATATTGGCTCTTCTACCTGCCCCCTAGGAATTCAAAATGAAAAGCCTAGTCAGAGCTCACTAACCTCTTTCCTAGTGAAAATCATCTAAACTGAAATGTATATGATGTCTGTAAATACAATTATGGGCCAGATGTGGTACCTCATGCCTGGAATCCCAGCACTGTGGGAGGCAGAGGCAGGTGGATCACCTGAGGTCAGGAATTTGAGACCAACCTGGCCAACATGGTGAAACCCTGTCACTACTACAAATACAAAAATTAGCCGGGCGTGGTGGCGCACATCTGTAATCTCAGCTACTCGGGAGGCAGGAGAATCTCTTGAACCCGGGAGGCGGAGGGTGCAGTGAGCCAAGATTGTGCCACTGCACTCCAGCCTGGACGAGAGAGCGAGACTCCATCTCAAAAAAATAAATTATTAAAAAAAAAAATTATATGCCAAAATTTCAATAGGGATTCAGCTACAAAAGACTTACAAAAATACAACTACTATTGTATACGAAGTTGTTTATAATTTTCCAGAAAATACATCCAGCATCTATCACTGTAACTCCCTCCGAGCAGAGAACACTTACTTTATTCTGGTATCTAAACCACGCCACCGTGGGAAATTGGCCCCAAGCCACCCGTACCCGCCTCCTGTCGCTGGTTTAAGCATTACCCCAAAGCCGTTACGTGTAACTGTTTCGGGAATGACCATAAAAACCAATTTGGACAATGAAAAGTGACGGGAAGTCTACTGGAGCATTGCAGAAAGTTTCCATTCTCCTAAGAACAGTCGCTTATTTGCGCTGCGTTTTCCTTGCAAGTGGCGCATTCTCTCTATTAGCTCCTCTGCAAATACGTATCTGCACGTCTGTGCATACACATAAGCTGTGAGCCACTTGGGGACAACGGCTGGCTTACTCGGCCCTCCACCGAGCATAATGCCTGCCGCACAGTGGGTATCTAATGGATGTTTTGTTGAATAACGCATGGGCCGAGAGGCTTTAAGCCCCAGGCCCCCCACAGTCGGTGACAGAGATTTCCCAAGTCCCTAACACGAGACTCGCCCTAATAGCCCCTACTCGCCAGCCAAGACAATGCATTTATTTCTCCCGCGGCCACATATGCGACCAACAGAACGAATACAGCTGCACAAATCGCCCAGGGAACGTGGAGGAACGCGGGGAAGGTCAGGTTCATTTGGGGATGCCTCCAGGCCCTTAGCCCCAGCGCCCCACCCCCTCCGCCCCCTTCACCTCTTGAACATCCAGGACATGGCGCTGAGTGGGATGACAAGAGGAGCGCCTCGGCTCCCCTGGATCGTTCTCGAGCCGCCTCGATACGCCTCGTTCCAGGTCCCGCAGCCCTGAAGCCGGGAACAAATTCCGAGCGCCGGATAAGGAGCGCACGACTGAAAGATAAGTCGCTGCGAGTCTAGTCAGACGTCGACGCCGTCTCCTTCTAGCAACAATCTGGGAGACCAGCGTCGCTCTGTGACTGGCACTAGGAAAGCCCAATCACGAAGAGAAGAGTGCGGAGCCAAACCAATCAGAGCACAGAAGGGAGGGCAACTCCGCCCCGCTGCCATTCAAAGACTGCGGGGGGTCCCGGCTGCAAGGGTGGTTCCATCCGGGTTCTTCCCCGCCCCCAAGGCGGGCGCGCGGGAAAGCCACGAGGCCCCAGGAGTGCGACTGCGGTGCCTGCGGTGCCGGCGTTTTGTTTGATTCCCTGCCTTAAACGGAGGGAAACGACTTTCCTTTACCCCACAAGTCCTAAGACTCAACCCCATTCTAAAGCCTCTACCGTATCCTTCCTCTTATTTTCTCCTCATCTAATGTGGCACGTAATAGGGCGTTATACTGAAGGAGCTCCACGGTTTACGAGACCTGGAGCTACCGGCGAGATACTTTGTTTCATTCCCTGTGGTGAACCCTGGGGACTTCAGCTCCAAATTTTCATGTTAAGCCTCAGCGTATGGATGAGACACAACGAGTTTGGAAAATCTTAAATGGAACTTAGAGTCCCCTCCCCACCTCTTTTCGTTATTTTTAAGGAAAATTTTCCTTTCTTGGTACAGGAAAGCCATCACATGTTTATCACAGCTATGGGGGCGTTTGCCGGAAATGGTGGACAGGACCCTTTTCCCAGTGGGCACGTGGCTGCTCCAGCCCAGCTGGGGAGACCCTTGTTTTCCCCAAGGAACTGCAGAGGGGCGCTCTGAGGCCCTCCACGGCTCGCTTTCCAGAGTCTGAGGTGACTGGAAGGAGAATGCAACCCTGGGACCGTCAGCCTTGGACCAGCTGCAGCCCACGCCTATCAGGGCTGGTCCCTACGCGTTGGGGATGGAGAGGAGGCTGCTGTCCCTGAAGGTCGCCTTTTAATCGCACAGGGCGGGAAGCCGGTGATGGCGCCAATCTGCACAGGCGGTGCCGTGTAACTGCCAGAGAATACTTGCCCGTCACAGAGAGGTCCACATTACACGCCCGTCAACACAATAATACTAGGTGGTCAGCTTTTCTTTTCTTTTTTCTTTTTCTGTTTTTTCTCTTTTTTATTGAGACGGAGTCTCGCTCTGTCCCCCAGGCGGGAGTGCAATGGTGCGATCTTGGCTCACTGCAACCTCCGCCTCCCGGGTTCAAGCGATTCTCCTGCCTCAGCCTCTCGAGTAGCCGAGATTACAAGCGCCCGCCACCAGGCCCAGCTAATTTTTGTGTTTTTAGTAGAGACGGGATTTCACCATGTTGGCCAGGCTGGTCTTGAACTCCTGACCTCAGGTGATCTGCCCGCCTCGGCCTCTCAAAAGTGCTGGGATTACAGGCGTTAGCTGCCGTGCCAGGCCGGTAGTCAGCTTTTCAAGAGACATTTATTCATTATCGTAAATAAACTGTAGTGATCTGTAATCATGAACCTTGGATGAGCAATAGAATTTGAAGCAATGTATTATTTCATTTGACCAAAGTTAATGAAGATAAAGACAATGGCATTTCAAATTATTTTAATTGTTTTATGTTCTTCTTGAAGTGTGTTGAGGCAAATGGCAATACAGTTCAGCATTTGGTATGCCAGATTTTAAATAAATTCTTGGAAAATATGCCAGAAATTGCTCAAATTGATGTTTTGTGTGTAAGAGTAAGAAAGTCAGGCTCACTAGACAAAGAAAAAATTCCAAATGTGAGAACGTAGCTCTTTCAGACTTAAGACTGGCCAGGCGCAATGGCTCACACCTGTAATCCCAGCACTTTGGGAGGCCGAGTCGGGTGGATCACCTGAGGTCAAAAGTTCGAGACCAGCCTGGCCAACATGGTGAAAGCCCGACTCTACTAAGAAAATACAAAAATTAGCCGGAGGTGGTGGCGCAAGCCTGTAGTCCCAGCTACGCGGGAGGCTGAGGCAGGAAAATCGCTTGAACCAAGGAGACAGAGGTTGTAGTGAGTCGAGATCAAGCCACCACACTCCAGCCTGAGCAACAGAGTGAGACTCTGTCTCAAAAAAATAAAAAGACTTAAGATCTATCAATAATGACTGTCCCATGGTTAAAGAATGTGCTTTGAATGAACTAAAATTTGCTATTTAAAGTCAACAGTTTTCTCTATGTTATCAGTATTTCACATCTCAGAACCAGGAGTAGAACATTCTTTCCCTTAATCATTCTTTGTTTTATTTTCAAAGATCAAGTACAATTTGTACTAGTTTGATTAAAATGTTATAGCAATTACAATTTCAGAACTATTATACTAGATAATGTTTTCTGAAAAATTAACTTTTTTGTTTTTTTCTTGATTTATTCTAATAACAGCATCACATGTACATATGAAAAATGAAAACTTGTAACTGGAAAATGAACTGTAGGGTGGCTTGTGGGGTTTGGCTAGTGAGTAAGGAGGAAAGTGGCACTAAAAGGATGGTGGGGAAGATAAGGTCCAGATTACACAGGAACTTAAGAGTCTCCAGTAAAGACTGTATTTTAACTGCAATGGAAAGCCATTGAATGTTTCAAGCAGGGGGATGACTTGATTTAGGCTTTTAAAAACGCTGGCAGCCCTGTGGAGAATTACAGGAAACAAGAATAGAAGCAACTGATAGGAAATTATTGTGTTCAGATAAGAGATGGTGGTGGCTTGGAAAGGGAAGGTGATGAAGCCAAGAGAACCAAAAGGTTTACTGATAAATTTGGGTAGGAATGGTATGGAAAGGAAAGGAATCCAAAATTTCTCCAGTCAGCCACTTCCCAGTCACAAACACACTTCTCATCTGCACCCCCCTGCCACACACACACACACACAGAACCTTTATGCAAATTAATCATGTCATGTCACTCCCCTGTTTGATTCTGTGAGCCTGAAATCCAAGAATGGCATAGGTGGCTCTTCCTCCCACAGTAGCTTCATTTCTCGGGTCACTTCCCAACCCACCCTGCCGATAATGGCCTTCACTAATTTCTCTAAAAACTACGGATGTGGCAAAATTAATAATAAATCACTTCTTAGTATCTTCTAATAACTAGTTCATAATCAAATTTTCACAATTGTCTCAAAAAAAAATTTTTTTTTTTTTGAGACAGTCTCACTCCAGTAGCCCAGGCTGGAGTGCAGTGGTGCGATCTCGATTCACTGTAGCCTCAACCTCCTGAGCTCGAGCAGTCCTCCAGCCTCAGCCCCACAAGTAGCTATGACTACAGGCACAGCGCCACCACCCCCAGGCTAATTTTTGTATTGCTTGTAGAGAGGGGGTTTTGTCACATTGGCCAGGCTGGTCTCGAACTCAGCTCAAGCAATCTCACTGCCTTGGCCTCCCAAAGTGCTGGGATTACAGGTGTGAGCCACTTTTTCTAGGCCTTTTCTAGGCTGGGTGTGGTGGCTCATGCCTGTAACCCTGGTATTTTGGGAGGCCGAGGCGGGCAGATCACTTGAGGCTAGGAGTTCAAGACCAGCCTGGTCAACATGGTGAAACCCTGTCTCTACTAAAAATACAAAAATTAGCAGGGAATGATGGTGCCACGCCTGTAGTCCCAGCTACTTGGGAGGCTAAGGCAGGAGAACCACTTGAACCCAAGAGGCAGAGATGGGAGTGAGCCGAGATTGTTCCACTGCACTCCAGCCTGGATGATAGAGCAAGACTCCCTCTCGGAAAAAAAAAAAGTGTTTTCTACACTTTGCAAAATAGAATTTTAAAGCCATTGGTGTAGGGGTGGGGACCAGGCAGCAGGGAGGGGCTTTAAGAGAAGAATCTGAATATCTAGAAGTCTGGTTTCAATACAGAAACTTCTAAGCTTATGTCATAACTCATAGACTAAAGAAAGTAGGATGAACTTATGAGCTTGCTTGTTTGTTCGCTTCTTTCGCTGCAAAGGAGATAACAGTTCAATTGAGGAGAATTTTCAAGAATGACAGGCAGGAGGGTTTGCAGAGTAAATCACTTAAGTGAGTCTTAGAGAGAAGACCTGGAATACACACTGGGCCAATCTCCACAAAGGGAGAGTGCTAGAAAGTCTAGCAAAGTTTCTGTAGATCACACAAGAAAAGGAAGCTATGCCACATTTCCCAGAGAGTGGCCTTAGTATTCTGCAGATCTCAGAGAGAACCTCAGAAACTAGAAATGTGCAGGGTAGTAAAGGAGTAAAGGTGACTGAGTTGGCTCTGTTAAGGGGACCCAGGGCAGCCTCGTGAGCCTCTAGCCCTGCGAAGGCTGGAGGGCGTTATCAGGATCATGGTTCAAGCAAACAAAAGCAGGATGCTGGTCCCCAACGATGAGGTGAGATGAGTTACATCTGAAATGGGTGCCTGTAAAAGATGAATGGAGTCCAAACATAACCTCCCTGGCGGGTAAGAGGAAGGGAACTAAATCTGAAAGCTTCATTTAAATGACTTTAAATCTTAAAATGACTGAACTATTCAGAAGTGACTAAATTAGGTTACCTGCCATTAGGCAGACTGAAGATTTAAGAAAATATAAGTTCAATAAAGAAATATAAAGTTTTATGTTTGCAAATATAGTCAGTGATTGAAATTCATACATGCTATATGTCTATATGCACACATTTTGATGAATATATACTTAGATATTTATAGTAAATACCTCTAGCTGGTTAAATTAGGGAATTTTCATTTTCTTCTTTTTACTTATATGTATATAAAATATTTGTTACATTAAACATGTATTTCTTTTTTGCCATAATAAAATAATTTATTAAATTAAAGAAATGATGAACTATTATTCAACTTTATTTTTATCTAATTGTAGACTTACAGAAAATTACAAATTTAGTACAAGTTGTTGCCTCGTATCCTTTATACCACTTATTTTAATACCGTTTATAACTATAGTACAATGACCAAAATGAGGAACATTGGTACAATACTATTTCCGAACCGTTTTTAAAAATAACCAAGACAATGCTGTGGAAATGATAGAAAATAAAATATTTTTTGACTTACTAAATTTTCCTACAGTTAATCAGATTTCTCTAGATTTTGGGCAAAATCCTGAGTAAAACCACAGCTG